TGGGGGCATAGCTCAGTAGTAAAGTATCTGCTTAGCATGCACAAGGCCTTGAGTTCTTTTTTATTTATTTTTATTTTTTATTTTAATTAATTAATTAATTAATTAATTTAAGGCCTTGAGTTCTATTTCCAGCACCAAACAAACAAAAACACTAGGATTACCCAAAGACTAATCCATTAATTAATTCATTCAAAAAAGCATTTATTACATGCAGGGCACTACAATGGATGTTAGGAGTATATAGATAAATAAGACAAAGTCCTTGCCTGCAGTAAGGTCCCAGTTTAGGGGAAGAATCAGCCAGTAACATGTATAAGGCCGTAAGTGCTTTTTGCTGCAGATTCAAAAGCTGAATTGGTAACTTCGGAGAAATGAAATTGATGGGGGTGGGCAGGAGAAAGCCCTTTCCATATGGTAGAGTTGAGTAACAGTGAAGATAAAGTCTTTTCTTATACTTAGGAGAAATTCCTTCGGACTGTTCCAAGAGTTCAAATAAGTTGAATTTCATAAAACCCCAGACCCAGAACCTTAGGCCTCCCTCCCCATCAGGAGGTGGGTGGGAAACAGAAAGCCTGGGCTAGTCCTTTTACATTGACTGGTCTTGCCAATGACAGTCCCTCTGGGGCCTCTCACTTTTCTTCTTGGCAGGTCACCTGGAGCTTGGGGGCTGGCCCAGCTCTCTCAGGATTCAGCAGACACTGGAAGTGGTGGTGAAGGACACAGTGGTAGTCAATGTTATTTGAGCAGGGTCAGCAGGCCCTGGAGCTTCCTGAGTGCACAATGCAGAAGGCTGCATACTATGAAAACCCGGGACTCTTTGGAGGCTATAGCTACAGCAAAGCCACTGACAATTATGGCTATGGCACTCCCCATCAGCCCTACCCACCCCCTGCTGCTGCCAACTCCCTGGACACTGATTACCCAGGTTCTGCCTGCTCCATCCAGAGCTCTGCACCTCTGCGAGCCCCAGCCCACAAGGGGGCTGAACTCAATGGCAGTTGCATGAGATCTGGCACTGGGAACAGCCAGGGTGGGGGTGGTGGCAGCCAGCCACCTGGTCTGAACTCAGAGCAGCAGCCACCACAACCCCCTCCTCCACCACCCACCCTGCCCCCCTCCTCACCCACCAATCCTGGAGGTGGAGTGCCTGCCAAGAAGGCCAAGGGTGGGCCCAATGCTTCCAACTCCTCAGCCACCATCAGCAAGCAGATCTTCCCCTGGATGAAAGAGTCCCGACAGAACTCCAAGCAGAAGAACAGCTGTGCCACTGCAGGTAGCTTTCTGATGGGGGACATTCCTGGACCAGGTTTCCTACAGACTAGCCCCAGGAAGTTCCAATCATCCAGGAACCAAGAGACTCAGGGCCATAAGAGCAACCTTGGAAGACATGTCCAAACTCTTACTCTTGCAGAAATATCCTTCCTTTTTATTGTCTTTGATTGGAGTCTTAGCCTTGTGGGAATAGGGTGCTCACTTCTATCTCAGGCTGCTAGTGTCATTGATGAACAAATCTTATGTTTATTCATAGAAAGTTCTTCACTGTATTGACATATTATCTGCTTTCCTGGGCTGCTGGTTATAACTCAGCTCCCTCTTCAACCCAACAGCCCCTCAGAAATTGAACACAAAGTTAAGTTCAGTGGTGTACTGGGGAGGCTGAGGCAGGAGGAATGCTTCAGCCCAGGATCTCAAGGCCAGCCTGCTTGGGCAACATGGTGAGACTCTGTCTTAAAGAAAAAAAAAAAAAAGTAAAAGAAAGAAAAGGAACAAAATTTGAAGACAGATATCTTGAGCACAGGTGGTTATATAGCTCATATCACATGAATCAATAAAAACTAAAGGCTAAGCAGTGCTCTGTGAAGAATTGTGCTAAGCAATTTATAAGCATTATCTTAATTTTTCAAAAAACGCTTTGAGGTAGGCATGTGAGACAGCCTCATTTTATAGATAAGGAAACTACTAGAGATGATACGCAACTTGCCCAAGTTGAAAAAAACAGCAAGGTGGTGGATTTGAATCCAACCACTCTGACTCCAGGGCCTGTCAGGAATAACCATGAAACTACCTGCCTGTCTCAGCCCAGTTTGCCCAGTCAGCAAACTCTTAACAGGGAGGTGCATATTCCAGGTGGAGAGAAATTTCTGGGAAACAGGAGCAGCCTGGGCTTTCTTTCTGTGCAAGGGAGACCCTTGGGTTGAGAAGGTCTCCAGGTCATCCAGGGCACGTGGAAGAAGACAGGCATCACAGGCGTTGACACCTGCTCCTTTCTGCTCAGACTGCTTGGTTCCCTACATTTTTTTTGGCTTTGTGTTCTCTGCTGCAGTTTATTTTCATATAGATGAGCAGGTTTCTAGGTCCAGGGCTAGTTTGAAGCTTGGGATGTGGCTTGTTATCAGGTCTCTGGTTGGCCTGCAGCTCTCTGGGGCTGCTCCTCCTAGGGGGAAAGTGCCTTCCAGCCTGCAAGCTCCTTCTCCTGCCCCTCCCTCCTCAGCGCAGGCTCGGGCCCTCCCTCCCGGGAGAAATCCATTTGTCTTCCCAGTGAGGGAGTGGACAAGCAGCTGAGAGGTGGCAGGGGTGGTGGAAGCCTGTGTTGAGGCCGCTGCACCAGCACTGCCTTACTCAACATGCTTTCAGCCTGGCCTTGGGACCCTGGAAACGCCAAGGCAGTATTTTTTGGGTTTATCACCTCTGGGTGTAGCTGGGCTAGACTGAGGTGTTAAGAACCCCCGCTCGCATTCTTTGCTGGGGAGGTGCATTGCCCAGGAGCCAGCCTCTAAGCAAGGTAGAGGAGCTGCTCACACCCCTCAGCAGCAGAAGCTGTGAGAAGACTGTTCCAAGAGAAGTCTGGCCCTTCTTTGACAGAGGGGAGGCATAACCAGCTGCTCTTCTTCTCTCATTAAAGCCCTTCCTGGCCTTTTGAGATGAGATGATGGGCTGAGATGTAGAGGAAGGGAGAGCAGAGCGAATAGGACTTCCGAAGGCAGATGCAGGTTTCAGGTGCAACTGATGGTAGACCTGGGATAGGGTGTGAGTTTTCCCTTGCACTCTGACCTCTGGAATGCCTCTTCCCCACCCAGCCAGGATTGGAGGTGGGGGAGGGTGGTGGCCAGTAGAGCTAGGGAAGCACCCCTCTTCACTCCTAGGAGTCTCTACTCCCTCGCTCAGCGCCCCCTCTTTCTCCCTCCCTGCCCAGGAGAGAGCTGCGAGGACAAGAGCCCGCCGGGCCCGGCGTCCAAGCGGGTGCGCACGGCGTACACGAGTGCGCAGCTGGTGGAGTTGGAAAAGGAGTTCCACTTCAACCGCTACTTGTGCCGGCCGCGCCGCGTGGAGATGGCCAACCTGCTGAATCTCACCGAACGCCAGATCAAGATCTGGTTCCAGAACAGGCGCATGAAGTACAAGAAGGACCAGAAGGCCAAGGGCATCCTGCACTCGCCGGCTGGCCAGTCCCCGGAGCGCAGCCCGCCGCTCGGCGGCGCCGCTGGCCACGTGGCCTACTCCGGGCAGCTGCCGCCGGTGCCCGGCCTGGCCTACGACGCACCCTCGCCGCCGGCCTTCGCCAAATCGCAGCCCAATATGTACGGCCTGGCCGCCTACACGGCGCCGCTCAGCAGCTGCCTGCCACAGCAGAAGCGCTATGCGGCGCCCGAGTTCGAGCCCCACCCCATGGCGAGCAACGGCGGTGGCTTCGCCAGCGCCAACCTGCAAGGCAGCCCGGTGTACGTGGGTGGCAACTTCGTCGACTCCATGGCGCCAGCTTCCGGGCCCGTCTTCAACCTGGGCCACCTCTCCCACCCGTCTTCAGCCAGCGTGGACTACAGTTGCGCTGCGCAAATTCCTGGCAACCACCACCATGGACCGTGCGACCCTCATCCCACCTACACAGATCTTTCGGCCCACCACTCGTCTCAGGGACGCCTACCCGAGGCCCCAAAACTGACACATCTGTAGCGGTCACTGTCGGCCCGAACTTGCGGCGTCATTACCTCCTTTGCTTTGATTGTTGGGGGTGGCAGGCGGGCGGGGCCCGAGGGGCAGTTCGGGGACCCCCTCCCTGGCTCTGGCCTGGCCGCTGCTTCCCAGGTCTCCTCCAGCGGCGGAGGCAGAGGCTATGCGGCCTCGCCTCCAAACGCGTCCTCCTTTGGGTGACTCGCCGTAAATCAGCCGCAAGGATCCTCCCCCGCAAGCCTAACAGTGCCATATACTGCGAACCGAGGGACTCTAATCTGGTAATGGTGTCTCCAAGGTAAGTCTGAGACCCATCGGGCGGTGCGCCCTGCAGGAGGACTAGAGTTGGAGTCCTGGGCCTGACCCGCATCTAGCTTAGTTTCGGAGATCTTAATTTATATGCTCCTTCCCGTCCCATAAAGGATTTCATCGGACTAAATGATCTGTATTTATTATTTGAAGCGATTCATTTCGTTTCCCTGATTATTTATCCTCCTCTTAATGTATTTATGTGTATATTTGTAGAATTCTCCAGCCGAGTTTAGGAACGCGCTCCCGGCTTTGGGGGGCCACATTTCACCTTTTTTTAGTTTCCTTGGTCTGAACTAGTTGAGAGTAGTTTTGAACAGTTGTAACCGTGGCTGGTGTTTGTAGTTGATGTAAAGGATTAAGACCACAAATTGTCCTTCATGGTCCTAGAGTGAGGCAGCCCGGTGGCATGGCACGACAGACCTTATTCATTTCTCGACAGCCGCAGCCCTCGCCACTTGACGCAGTTTGATTTCAAATTGTCTAGTACTATTTGAACAAATATTTAGAATAAAAAATTTCTGTTGGAAGTCTATCTGTTAATCACACACACTTGCAAGCAGATCACCCTGCCTTTATCTTTTGAACAATCCCAGTGGAAGGGTGAGAAAAAGCCCGACCCTCTGAAAGACCTTATTTATTTGGAATCTAGTACATAAATTAATTTTGGGGGTGATACTTGCTTACATTCCAGCTATTAAAATTCGGGGGTAGTGGTGGTGGTGGTGGTGTCTAAGGGTGCAAACCTAGGAATGTCCTGTGTGGCATGACTGGGACAGGGCTTTGCCAAAGCAGTGCCTGCCTTGCTGTTTCTATCACCCTCTCTCTAGACACAATCGACGGTCACATTAGGGAGGCCAGAGCTCATTTTTCTGCATTAAGTAATAAAAAAAAAACTTTGAAAAAAACTGACAATCAAAGAAAAGACACAAAAGAATTCATAAGAAGAACTGAGCTATGAAAAGGTAAGGTGCAGAAAATGAAAGGTTCATTTGGAGACAGGCACCGAAGCTTTTTCTCTAGGAAATGCTGTCATGAATTTTTCCTTTGTCGTGGTGGGTAGTTCATTTCTAAAGAAAACAAATGTTCTCCATAATGGGAAGTAATAAAAGTTTCACTACTGGAACACAGCACATATAAACACCCTGTTTACTTCTGTTTCTTTGTACAAAACGGGCAAAAAACGTCTTCAAAAGGTTTATAACCATTTTGTAAATATTAGTGTGGCTCTAGCTAGGAGCAGACCACTTACACTCACTTCTATGGGAGGGGACACTTGGAAACCGCCTTCAAATAAGTTTCAATTCTTTTGTATTTCAGCAAAGTCAGCCCACGCATCTCTATTTGGTTTGACAAATAATGCAACTCCTACTACATCCCCGGTGACAAGAGGTGAAATTCCTATTGTGTGGAAATAATTTAACTTCTTATCTTCTGGTGGAACAACAATTGTTTCTATTTGGATGTTTGTGTTTCACTAATGATGGCTCAAAATACATTTACTTTCCCGGTTCTTTTGTGCTGTTTTTAAAATGGCATGTTAGATTGGGGGCGGGAGGGGATATTCTTTTGCCAAATTTCACTTTATCTGAGGAGGTTCAAAGTATATATGCTGTAGAAGTGTACCGACAGAATAAATGACTTCAATCGAAGACATATTTTACCCACTTTCAAGGCTTAACATTGTTTTATATGAAATTTGCATCCATGGGCAGAATTTCTAATTGTCTTGTACGAAATTATTTTTTAAGCTATTAGGGGAATCAAAGATCTCGTTGCCTTGCAGGGATTACAACCACCTTTCTTAACTGGCTAAATATTAAATAGATGAATCGTCAGGCTGTTTAGATTCAGCCCGGTTTTCCCTCATCTCCTCTTCCTACCATAAATAATAATAAAAATACATAATGCATCATGGCTCCAGGCGTTTTCCAGCGCGATGTGTTACCGCAGTAGTATCTGCTGAGTCTGCGGGTGTCTGCAAAGCCCCAAGTGTCATCTGTGGCTTAGGGTTTCATGGATTAGACTTTAAACGGTGTCTCGCCAGGCTGACATCAGCTTCCTCTCACACTTAGGCTCCAAGGAAGTGCTGGGCTGGGGGCTCCCTCTCCATGCAGCCACAGCTCCCCACGGCCCTGCTTTCCAGGGTATGTGTGTGGGGGGCGGGGTGGCTGGGGCTGAATCTGAGGCTTTTCCCCACCTCCGGAGACTTCTGAGAGTGGCTCCAATCCGTTCCTGTCACTGGCGTGAGTCATGTGATGGGCACACTGGGTCACTCCTGGCGAGGGCACGCTCCCACGCGGCCACCCGCCCGGCTGAGAGCCTGGCCCGGCACAACCATTTAAAACTTCATAAATTATAAACAAGCCGCCTTGGCCTTCACAGTAAATTCCGCTCTTTTCGAGCCTGCAATTAGTGTTAGGAAGCACCCGAGTCTAAACACAACCAAACGCCCTCTGAAAGACCCAAGGGCCCGAGGTTGCAAACCTTTATTTCCCAGTGCCAACCCCTCCCCGCCAAGGTTTGCACACAGTCGCCTCCTCCCCCGCCACAGCCACCGCCGGCGGTACACACTCGGCTGGGTTCCTGCTCTGCGAGGGAAGGTCACAATAGCGGCTCTATCTGCACAGGCGCCTGCCTCCTCCCTCCCCGGTCTCGCAGCAGCAGAGAAAGAAGCGTGGGGGAGGGGAGCCGGCCGCCAATGGCGCCCTGGGCCTTGGCCTCTCTTCTCGGGGAGGCCCTGCAGCCATACCTGCAGGAGAAGTCGGCACGGGAGGCAAACCTCCTCCCTAGTTCCTGCTTCTGTCCAAGACGAGTGCTCTGGGGGCAAAGGAGGGCCCACCAAGGCCTCAAACTTGCTTGAGGCCTCCCTACCCCACACTGCGCTGAGGGTGCCCAGAGCAGCCAGAAGCCCCAAGGCAGGCACGCCATTGTGTGCGCTGCTTCCCCGCGGGTTCTGCAGCAGAGGCGGCCCTGGAGGAGGCCTTAGCAGGCAACACAGAGGGCGGCTGGAGGTGGGAAGTGGCCGGCCCTCCCTTGCTCGCTGGGGCTTTGGTCTTTGGAGATCTACCTTGGTTGCCTAAGAGGAGAATGGTTCTTAAACTCATGCCTTTGGCCAGTTCTTTTTTTTTTTTTTTTTTTTTTAAACCAACACCTACCTCCTTTGGGATGTGCGTGGGTGTTATGCAGTCTCCTGAGATCTCAAGAACAAGGTCACAGCTGTAAGCCTGGGCCCATAGATCAGGGATGGCCATTCACCTGGCATTCCTGGTGGTTCTGTACAGCCGATATGAATTGAGGCAGGGTGGAATGGCCTGCTGCACAGCAGGAGTTGGGGTGAGGAATGAATGAAGCAGAAGGAGAGCTTTTCCTTACAACCAGGAAACACTCAGCACCCAGCCCAAAGTGGAGTGCTTGGATGGAGCTAACCAGAGGTTGCAGAAGCTATGGAGGAAGAGGCCTCGAAGAGTAGTCCTGCTACTGGTAAGGAGGTAAGAGAGGGCAATTAACTACATATTCTGCCTTCTGGTTTTCAAACTTCAGCCCCATGCCAGAACCTGACAGGGAAATATCTACCTCCAATGGAATCATTAAGTGAACCATCCATTTGCACCATTTCTTTGTACAGGCTTTTACGTGAGAGAGGGGAAGGTAATACAGAGCAAGTACCCAGCCTCAAGCCCAGTCCCTATCAGAAACACATCAGCCAAATTGGTTTCCCAGGCCCCACAGGCTGCTATTTGCTGAACAAGAGTTATCAAATTTCTATCTGTAAGAAGTATTAAAAGATACTGATTACCTATACTAGCCACTTCTCCATTCTTCCCCAGTCTGCACAGCTAGCTGGCCTCAGTGAAGGGCATCTTCTCAGCCAGCAGGCCAAGGAGCCCTGGCTCTCCATCTGTTCAGGCTTTTCCTTAGGGAGGGTGAAGAGGATGCGCGTGGGTGTACGTTTGAATAACAAAGAAGTAACTCTTCCTTCTAATAACAAGTGCTCCTGGGCTTGACCTGGGGAAGCCAGAGGCCTGTTTACACCTTCAGTATTCAAGAGAAGTCACAGGCTTGTTTTGACTTTTATCCTGAGAATTAGTTGAAGCTCCCTCCTGCAGTTCAAGAATTGGCTAATCCCAGTTATAGGTCTAAGAAGGTCCTCTTCATCTGGAAGTTCTTGGCATTACTTTGATTCTTTCAGAAACTGAAAGAAAGAAAGAAAAAAAAAAAAAAAAGAACAACTTTATGAGTCAAAAGAGAGGGACAGAAGACCCAGACCCCACAAGTTTATAGCCTCATTACTCCTGGGCACTTTGACTTCCCAGAGAATATATTTAGGGCCTGGGTGAGCAGGCCTATTCTTGGACATTCTGGGACACTTAGGAAGTTGAGTTTGTATTGTCCTCAGCTAAGGCCTTACACCTTTGAGGGATGGCTCTTGTAGGTGTCTTTTTGCAAAAGGCCCAGGTGGAGAGAAAAAGGAAAGAATCTTTAGCAATTACTACACTGGTGGTGGCAGAGAGGATGGTGAATGGAAAAGATCATCACAGGGGGTGAAACGTTTGTTCTCACTGTTCCCTTGTTTTCTACTCCAGCTACAAATGTCTGTATCTTTGGGGTCCAAAGTTGGTGTCAAACAAATATACTGTATACACTTGGCTTGAAGTTCATTCTTAAACATTTCCCTCAGGTCTCACTCCCACCTTGGTGAGCTGGAAAATACAAAAACTACTTTTAGGCCAGTCCAGTGAAGCAAAGTAAGCAAAAGATCTCCTTACACAATGGAAAAGCCAAGATAGATAAATATTCAGTCATTTGTAATAGCAGAGGCAGGTGAAGGCTCTCCAGCAGATATATAAGGTAGGAGCTATTGCATGTATCTTCTTGTCCTAGATCTTGTGACAAAAATGAGGTGGGTTTTTTTGGGGGTAGACTGAACCCAGAACTTGGTTTGTGCTAAGAGATACACAAGCTACATAACAAGCCTATGGCAAAATTACCTTTTTGGGGGGGCAGTTTAAACAGTCTTGCTACGTAGTTCATACTGGCCTTGAACTAGCTGTGTAGCCCAGGCTTGCCTCAAACTAGCAATCCTCAGCCTCCCTAGTGCTGGACTGAGAGGCCTGAGCCACTACCCCTGGTGCATGGCAAAATATCTTGACTGAAACCTAGAGGTACTCTGGAGCATTTTTATGGAAGTATAAGATCTAGAAAATCGCAAAGTGGTGTTTTAACATTAATACAAGCCAGAGGAGGAGGGCGAGGAGGAGGAGATCCTAATTTAAATCAAAGTTCATAGAGAGCTCTGGTGTGGAGGAAGTGTTTTAACCGGGAAAGCAGGGCTTAACATCAGGCCGGGAAGGCTGGCTGGCCAAGGGCCTTTCCTTAGGAGAGAGGAGCATCCCGGACTTAAGCCTGCAGAAGGCCTTTTGAGGATGGCTCTATTGTTCACAGCGCTGTCCTACAAACATCACGCGCCTCCCCACCTCCTGCGGGCCGAGTGGGAAAGTGGGTCGAGTGAGCGGCACCAGAGTCCCTCGCTCCAGTCTGCTACCCCTTGGGACAGCCACGACACTACCCGCCCGCGCGTCAGAGGACACACAAAGCCCCGCCCTGTCCGGGCTGGGGGCGCTGTGAGGAGGCTGGTGAGGACCCCGAGGCCGAGTGCCCCGGCCCCGCGGGAACAATAGCCGCCGGCCGGCCTGGCAGTGGGAGCGGCACAAAGCCGGGGGTCCGCGCCGCCACGTGACACGCGCTCGCCCAGGCGGCTGCAGGGGCTCGGGACCCACCTGGGCCACTTGCGGAAAGACAAAGGTGAGTTCGTCCACCTCCCAGCTGCGGCCGCGTCCCTCCGTGGCCGGCGGGGGCCGGGGCGGAGGAGGTCTGTGCGCGTCTAGGGTGGGGGCGGGAGAGGTTGTCCTATTAAGAGTTCATCAATCACCGGTGTGCACTTTCCGCTCGACAGCGGTTCCTCCTACTTCAGAGCAAGTCTGGGCCAGCTGGGAGCCGACCAGCAACAGCCCGCAGAGGAGACGCGGGGCGCGGGCTGGGGGCTCCCAGAGGGCGCGACCCGTGGTCCCCGCCCGGCACCGCCTGGGCCCGAGGGGAGGGCTGGTAGCTTCCTCCTTGCCTTAGGGACAGGCCCGCTGCCCGCCAGCCCCGCCCTCGAACTTCTCTGGGCACCCACACGGTGACCCTGCATTCCCTGCCATTCTCCACACTGGCCTCAGGGACCCGCTGCCCTGTTCCCAGAAAGGGCCATATCCATCTCTGAAGGCGGAAGGAGAAAAAGCCCAAGGGGCCAGGAGGTTTTTGCAAACTCTTAAGTCTCTATTTGCCTGCGGGAGTATTTGTGTGGGAGGAAGGAGGAGGGCAAGACCGCTGTTGAACTTGAAATAAACTTGAATGTCATTTAAAGTAACAATAAAAATATATTGAAAACACCAGCCACAATGATATGTCTCTTCTCTTGGAGGGTGGAAGCAAGATTCTTAAGTACTTCTGCCTCAGCTCTTTTGGGTCAGTTTTAGAAACAACATGGGGCCAGACCACAAGTTTCTAGGGGCAGACATCAGCCCTACAGCCATTTGCAGCAGGCTTTCTGGGTGGAGTGGTGGAGTGGGCGGGGAAGCATTCTCACACCTCTTCTGGAGTGTCACTTGTCTTCTTAAATCCTCCCGAAGTTCTGGCCTAGGTTCCCCCCCGCCCCCCGCCCGCCACCTTCACCTTTTCGCTGGGTGCCATCAGCTGAAATGTTTCTGAAGTTAGTTGGTAGGTGCTGCCCAGTCCTCAGGAATAAGCTCCTGAGGGATGGAAAGCCTCAGCGTTGCACCCCCCCGCATCCTTGTTTGTCATCATCTTGGGTGGAAATTGACTTCTTTTGGAGGAATGTTGTACTGTCATTTCTGCTTCAGATAGCCTGAAGCATTAAGCCTCACAGAGTATCTCACATCCACAGAGCAATGAAAATACAGGGCCAGCTGGCCTAGGTTCAGTCTGCCCCTCGCTCTGGGTCTTTTCCCAGCACCCACGGAATGGCTCCTGTGGGCCCTGTGCTGGGCTTTGGGATACAAGGATGGGTCACTAATGATTTCTGCCCTTCCATCTAGGCGGAGGGAAATAATCCTAGAACAATGTGATAGGTACCACAACAGAAGGTGCTCAAATTCGTGTGTGTGTGTGTGTGTGTGTGTGTGTGTGTGTGTTTTATCTTTTGTGTTTCTTTGAATGCTTGCTGCCTGTTCTTCTTTGAGCCTCCTTAAGCTCAATGTGGAACTGCTGGCATAGCATAGGAAAGGGTATTGGACATCTGACCTTGGCCATTTACATTGGATGTGACTATAATGTGACTGGAATGAAGAAAAGAAGCCACCAATAGTACTGCAGTGTCACAAAAGGCTACTCAGAGAAGGTAAATGTGGGTTCCTGAAGAAAAAGTTTCTTCAGATCAAGGAAGGATACAAAAATGAAGAAGGAGGAAATAAGAAGTGCAGTTTGGAGTGGGGCATCCTGGCTGGAAGAGGTTGTGCTGTGTGCATGTAAAGGAATCCAGACCTACTCTGTAGCTAATGGGGAGCCCCGGAAGGTGGGAAGTAAGGTTATCTACCTTGAAAGCTAACTTTTGGGGGTACTGTATCTGACTGGAAGAAGAAAAAATAGGAGGCAGGAAGAGTAAACAAAGGAGCATGCTGAAATACTCCAGCCTAGACAGGCACTGAAAACAAGGCTGACAAGATATTTAGGAGGCAGAGCTCACAGGACTTGGTGAGAGCTGGATGAGTAAGGGAAGAGCTATGGGTGCTAATTCCTATGTTTCTGTTTTGAGGGCCTGAATAGAAACCAGGGCATTTACCAAAGTGAATAGAAGAGGGAGAAGAGACTGCAGAAGAATCTAATGAGTTCGTTTTCAGGTCCACATTATTTTCTGCTTTGCTACATATACATAGTATGACCCTATGCAAGCCACTTCTTTTTTGGACTTTAGTTTCATCAGTGAAATAGTCAAAAAAGATATCTACTTCACAAATTTATCATTAGAACTCTGTGTGTGTGTGTGTGTGTGTGTGTGTGTGTGTTCCCCAGGTCCCCAGGAATGTCCTACACAAGCTAAAATCTAGGAAAAACATTCTCTTGCCTCCATCATGTTGATCAATATTTAGATCCTGGGTGGCCAGTGAAAAGGAAGGCTCAGGGAAATTAAAAACAACATCCTACTGCTTCCTAGACACTGAATCCAAACTAAGGTATAGGACTAAGTTAGATGAGATTGCTAATCAGAGCCCTCCCTGTTTCCGGAGGGGAGGGATAGTCTCAGGAGGATTCACATAAAATGTGGTCTTGGTATCTGACCACTAAAGAAGACGCCTCTTAGCAGATGTCAAAAAGCTTTTGTGCTTTTCTTTCTTAATATATCATGTGTCTTTCAGGGAATGCTAAAGGCCACTTCTTCTCTTCTGAACCTCCTTGAGCT